TGAGAAGTGGTGTTAATGGATGAGAACAATTCGTGTATCTGTGCTGCTATTTATATGTGTTATGTGTGTGTAATTAATTAGCTGGATTGAAGAAGCTAGCATCAGTGTGTCCATCAATCGGATGAATATGTGTTTCTTGGACAAGGGTTCAAGAAAGGAATTGAAGGGAGCAAAGCTAAGGAAATGTAAAGATCTAGGAATAATAGTGCAGAGTATACAACAGATTAATAACCTATTGATGGCCATGTTCTATGCAAGAGTTGAATACTACCTCCATCTTAAAATACTTATCGCTTTGAGTCTTTACTAGCAAAATGCCCATGCGTTGCATTGGGGGAAGAAAAAATAGTAATTAGTGTGTGGGAGCATAAAACCACCAGGTTCATTGAGGTCTTTATAGTCGAATCGAATCTTTGTAGTGCAAATAAGACGCTAACATGATATAATTATTTGTTGCTCTAAATCCACTGACATGGATACTAAACTTTGAAACCACAAAAAATATTTACTTTTTTGTCATGTATTATTATGAGTCAATTGCAGTACTTTGTTTTTTTTTTGGGTACCCGATATTGATAAGCACTTTTTTTTCATATTGTAAAGAGTAGCCATAATTTAAGAAATATTTTTTGCTAGCTATCAGATCAACCTCACTGCACTCCAATTGCATAACCACTCACTTAAATAATCAGAAGGAAAGAAAAAAATTGGGGTATATCGCAGAATAACTTTCACTCTAAATAATAGAAGAAATTATACAATGAATGAAAAAAAAAGTGATGTGATTAGGTGTCCTGTGGCGAATGAGCAATTTGATTGAGCGAAAAAAATCCAAATGTAAACATGATTCAATTTTTGTTGGTGATTACTCTTTCTAAAAAAAAGAAAGACACATGTGATTATTTTTATTTTTAAAAAAGAATTTATTTTGTCGGTAAATAATTCATTTTATTGGTGACTACATGTTTTAAGTAATAAGATCTCTTCTTTTTCCTGCTTGGCGTGAGTCCAAACTTTATTCGTGTTCGGTTGCTACAGTGTTGCGCAGTACTGTGCTGGGCTGGTGGGCTGCTTCTCCTCCGCTCTGTGGGCTCGCTGGTGGGCTGCGGCTGCTATCTGGGCCGGTCTGCAGCTGCTTTGGATGGGCTGCCTCGTCACTAATCCAATCCAGGCTGCTTTGGATGGGCTGCTCCACAAACAAGGTTTTCTCTTTTTATTTTTCTTTTCTCCTTTATTTGCAGGCGTAAGAGATCGTGGCCACGCTTTCGGATCGTGGATTAGCGACGAATTATCGTGTGGGCCCACTCTTAATGACGGACAAAAAGATTAACCGGAAGCCTTACTTATTTTTTAATTAGGTATAGATTGGTAACTTTTAATCATTCGTCTTATTTTTTAAAAAATATAAAATTATTATTTATTTTGTTTGTGAATTGCTTTATTATCAAAAGTGCTTTAAGCATGACTTATTCTTTTTCATATTTACACTAATTTTTCAAATAACACGAATAGGTCCAACGTTGAAACGGAGGTAGTAATTGATATTGCTAACTACTAGTAGTATAATAGTTGAAATGATCTGACGTTGCAAGGGGTGGCCACTATCACACGGTTTTGGTGGATAAAAGATTCATGATCAACTTCTTCTCCAAGGGTCAGACTACAACAGCTGAACTTCAGGAATTTATACCTTTTGTAATACCCCCAACCACCCACCGAGCAAGGCTTGTCCTTGTCTGGTCGATTAAATTGTGGCCTTTTTATTTTTCTTGTGCCTCTCTCGCTAGCAATCTAGGAGACTTGCGCAGTTAATTAATTGTGTTGAAATATAGTGAGGTGGGCTTAGCTCAGTTAATTAGTTTTTTTACCTGTTTAGTACGATCCGAGTCTTCTTATTTACGGTTAATTATTTTTCTACAGTAAGATATCCGGTTTTTTGAGATGCTCACAAGGGTTTTTTTATGGTTGATAATGGTTTATTGCCCTTAATACCGATGTGTAGGTGCTTTTTAATTCCTGATTTGTAAAAAAAAAAAGAAGAAAAGGAATTGTATGTTGACAACCAAATTTTGTAGTTGGGCAGTTATAGCAAGACCAAATTATATTTAAAAAGCCCAATACCTATATAGAAGAGGCCGATCTAACCATTATATGGGCCGGTCTAACTGAAATCTAGCAGTCCAACCAGGCCATGATGGCCAGTTTGACCAGTAAACTCTGATTCCGAGCCTAGTTGAGATATTTCTCATATTTTGTTGCTTGTGTTGAGATTTATCAAGTATTAATTGATCTCTATAACAGACATGGAGAAACTCTCATATTATAAGACCGATATCTTTATAACAAATATGGTAGGTTTTATTGACAACAACCAACAATCCAACACACAATTAGCTAATTGTGTCATCTTTTCATATTATATATCTCTATCTTGCCTTAGTTTGTTCAATCTTTATCGTTTTGCTAAGCGTAATTCGTTTGTAGATTTATCCAGAAAATTTTCCATTCCGGTCACAAAATGGGAGTTTATCCCGAGTTAGCCTAAATTTATTCTACTAGCTAGTTTTATTATTATCTTAGTTGTGAGTTCCTCAAGATCGAGATGGCTGACGACTCCCGTTCACAACGCAAAAAATAAAAACCGTCAAACAAAGGTACTTATTTTTTAACAACAGAGAGGTATATATGTATATTCTCTTATTTTTGTCAATACACACAACAGGATAACGAGTACAGAGCTAAACAAGCACAATTAAACTGGCACAGCAACGGAATCAAGCACCTAAAAATATATAATAGCTGAACTCAAACTGAACTTAATTAATAATCAACTCAAATTAATCCTATTCATCATCGTCATCCTCCTCCTCCCTAGCAACACTAGCAGCTGCCTTCTTCTCCTTGTTGCTGCCTTTCTTGGCCTTCGGATTCGTCGTCGTCGTCGCCCTCTTGCTCTCCTTCATGTCTCGCTCTTCCCCTGCAGCCTCGCCGTCGCCGTCGCCGTCGACCAGCTGGTCGTCGTCGTCGTGGTGGTGGCGGCGACAGCGGCGGCGGCGGCGGCGCATGGGGCAGCAGCTGTCGCCGTCGCGGCGGAGGCTGGTGAGCGCGGCGCCGAAGCCGGTGCCGGCCAAGAAGGCGAAGCCGTACTTGTAGAACGCCATGGATGATACGATCTTGATCGCACACGGCTCTACGGCAGCTAAGCTAGTTATTAGTGAAATTTGTCTGATGAAATCAGCTTGATTTGCACTGTAAGTGATGGAGTTCTTGTGAATTGTTGATGATGAATCGATCGGTTAGATCGAGCTGGATCAGGATGGGTGTGTGTGTGTCTCTCTCTCTCTCTATATATATAGCCATGTTACTGATTGGTTTGGTCTCCTCCTAGTCCCATTTGATTTGTTGTTTTGTGTGTGTGATTAATGCAGTGAGCTAGCTAGCGTGTCAACGGCGTCGTCTCTTTCTTGGTCCCTTGTACAAGGCAAAGTTTACTCCCTTCATTTTTTAATAGATAACGTTGTTGACTTTTAAACATATATTTTATCATTCGTCTTATTTAAAATTTTTATGTGAATGTATAAGATATCAATCATGCTCATAATACTTTTAAGGACAAAATAACTTAAAAAATAAATTATAATTAGATAATGTTTTTAATAAGACGATCGTTAAATATATGATAAAACATTAACGTTGTTACCTATTACAAAACGGAGGGAGTAGCGCAATTAGTTTTGTACAACCAAGAACGGACGAACGAGTATTGCTGCTACCAGCTGACGTTATGAGAACGACAAATTAAAATTCGATTACCGTGTGCTACCTAGCACACATGTTCTATCCTAAATAAGGGCCGGATATATACAACGACCGTTTTGGATATGCTCATATGCATCCATGAAAAATACTGCTCCCTCTTTACATTTAATTTGTGTATGATGTTGTTTAGTTCATTTAAAGGGAGTATATATGCTCTTTGGTCATAGATATTTAATGTTTAGGATAAAGTTTTATTAAACTTGTGAAACATTGATCTTTAATTTTATATTAGAATAAATTTGTAAATTCCAATAAATTTATTATATAACTTTCCAAGCCAAATCTCAACATTTCTTTAAAAAGATTTTAGGCATCTAAGAGCATCTCCAACCGGTCAGCCATCCCACTCTCCAAGTTAAAAAATAGCAAACATAGCAAGAAAATGAGGTGCAACAAACTCTCCATTTGGATGGCTAAGCCATCTCGCTGGCCAAATGATCAGGTGGGCTAGCCAAATCTAGCCAGCTGGTTTGGCTGGCCAAAGACATCATCAAGCAACACTGCCCTGAGAAATGCCAGTGACAACGCCTCCTGAGTTCCGAGCAGCTACCTCGCCGCCACCACCACCTCCCATCCACCTCTCCCCATCGTCACGGCGTCGCCACCATCACATCGCCCGCGAGTAGAAGCGTCAAGCGTCGCGCAAATCCCCTCGCCTCGAGCAGCCACCGCCGCCATCTCCCCATCCGACGCGGCAGCACAGTCGTCACCCAGCCTCGCCATTGCCGTCAACATCTCCGCCCCAGGCCTCCGTCGCCCCACCCTTTCCTCCTCCCCGTCATCTGCTCCACCCATCTCGCCTCGCTTCTCGCCTTCCCGCCTAGTCGGCTGCGCAGTGGTGGAGACTTGGGCGGTGGCGAGACAATTAGCACAAGATCCGCCCGCGGCCGCGGCAGCAGGTAGCATGACGGCGAGCATCGCTGCAGCCTCCCGCTCGCTGCCGCCAGCGCCTAGTGCCGATTTCGACCGCCGCGAAGGCCTCCCACTCGCCGTCTGCTCTCGAGCACCGGAGAGAGAGAAGAAGGGATGAGCGGCGGCAGCATGAATGGAGCGGCGACACTAGTGAGATTGGAGACGACGTGGTAGAGGGGTCGGTGAGGGAGGGCTCGGGGAAAAGGGGAGAAAAGAGGAGGAAGAAGAAGGGGTATTTGAGGCTGACATATGGGTCCCGCTGTCATAGATACATAATGGAGAGTCTGTTGGAGTAAGTAACTAGTTTGACTAGCCAAATTAGATGGAGAGTTGGCTATATGGGTGTTTGGAGAGTCCGATTTGGATAATCTGTTGGAGATGCTCGCATCAAAGTTTAAAAGGTTGACAAAATCTTTCCCTATGCGTCAAATATTTATAACTAAAGAGAGTATTAGCGCGTTCTAACCAGACTTTGCTTAATGGTTGAACCTTTTCCAGTTGGTTAATTTGAATTTATATATACGGATCTATATTTCAAAGTGATTTCAAATAAGGGATTGACTAATATTAAAAAAAAAGAGATTTGGAGGAAAAGACATCCCTCCAAAGTCCAAATATTTTTTTAAAGAAGAAATTGTGAGCGTCCACCCTTGACCCTACCTTGAACACTGAACCTTAATTGTTGAGTCGCTGTCGGTTGCTGTAGTTCATTGGATGCACTGAAGCTAGAGGAGAATGAGCTCTCGCACGAATCGTGAAGCATTCCCTAATGTAAGAAAACTACAAGATTATAGCTAGCCGGCCTCCACTTTTTTTTGTTAAATGTGATGTAGCAATTCCGTCTAAATGATGTTGGTGGCTGTTAAGTTGAAACTAAGAATACAACTCACAAGAAATCAACGGTCAGAATTAATACTGATTTTTTTAAAAAGAAAAAAAAACGTCCTACAGAAGAATTTAAGGACGATCAACCTAAAGCTTTGACCTTTCTTGTTTTGAGAGGAGGGTTAAATTTAGGCTTGTAACAGGCCTTTCCTAATAGGAAAAAGTACACTAATAACTAGTGGAATAAGTTCATCTGAGGTCCCTTAACTTTACACCAAATCCGATTTTCATCCCTCAATCGGAAAATAAGACACAACGGGTCCCTCAACTATCAAAACCAGTGCAGATTAGGTCTCTCGGCGGTTTTGATGGCGGTTTTGGCTGACATGACGCCTACATGGCTAATTTGACTCGGTCTTCGTCCGACGTGGCATTGACGTGGCGCTTATGTGGCAATTCGATCCGGAAAAATAATAAAATCCATGGGACCCACATGTTAGTCTCACATAGAAAATAATAAAAAAATCGTGGGCCCCACATGTCAGTCAAACTCACCCTTCCTCTTCTTCATCCTCTCTCCCCATCTCCCTCTCTTCATCACTCTCCCCTCTCCTCTCCTCTTCCGGCGAGAGCGGCGAGCTAGAGGGGGCGGCGAGACCGACGCCCACCAGCGAGAGCACCGAGCTGGAGGAGGAAGCTGGGGCGATAAAAGGGAATCGGCGATGGCGGTGGGCGGAACAGATCGACCCGGGCGGCGGCAGGTTGTTGATGTAAAACACGAGGCCTGGGAGATCTGCTTAACTCCAGTGCAGGTCCAAAACTCGCTGCGGGTTATGCTAGCGTGCCAGTTGATTTGATCCTGCAATCAACAAGAAACAAAAACAAAGAAACCGTGGTTAAATCCATAAACGATAGCCGATCGGCTAAGTGCCGATGACATATCATTTATCTTTGAGCCGATGTCATATATACATCGATCGGCAGTCATTATTAAATATGAAGGAACTAAATCTATTCGATCGGTTGTAGATATTAACAATATATAATCCTTATATCGATATATACTTAAATCAAGTGATTGAGATAGATCGGTCGCTATGCCGAGACAGTATAAATCACTTAGATCGAAATATATATTAATAATAGGATTATATATGTTCATAGCATAGCCGATCAAACAGATTTAGCATGTATCGGCTAATACTCCGATACCATTTTATACTAAGATATTAAGACAAGTAGGATATATCAAACAAAAGTCTAATATACTTAAATGCAACAAGATCTTAATATAAAGGGCAGATTTAACATATCAATGAAGCATATAGAGTAAATATAGTTAAATAAGATAAGATCGACTGCAACCCCGATACTACCCTAATCGGCAACCAGAAGGCAGGCTAGAGATTGATATTCTAAGCACGACTTAATAGATCAAACTCAACTGATGCAGCATTAAGTATGAAAAGAAGAACAATATCTAGACAATCAAGTCACTGGAGGTTTCATAGAGTGGTAGATATCCTATATAATCAAAGTCAACATCGATATTTAACCTAATCGGCTGCCTTCTACCGACAGATGTTTAGCCGATAATAGGTTAAATTGCGATATTGCCAGAGATTATGTAAAATATATGATAACTCGACGAATTACATAAACAATATTAGAGTATCATAAAGATGGAAGCACCAATCCCGAGAACGCAAGCCGTCATAACAAGTTTTACCTCTTGTTGAAGATCGAAACCGATGCAGCTCAACCCGAAAGTAAGAACTCGTCGAAATAAACTAAAGCAAAAAGGGTGGCGATGCACCGAAAGTGTATTGAACGTGTGTGTTAATTGATTACATGGGGTTCGGGGTCTATTTATACCCGAAAATTACAAACTATGTCCATATCAGACACGACTCTTATCTCTAACAAACTCTAAGATACCATAAATCTTTGCGGCAGACTTTTGTCCAAACATATCTCTATGGAAATTACACAAAATATCCTAATTAATAGATACAATTGCCTTATCAGGACTCTATCCATGCGTGGCAATCATCTTGAAGCATATCAATTCAACCCGACGTTGTACATTAGGTCATATTGTCGGAATCGGCTACATCACTTAACCAAGTCTGACTCGGGCTCAGCCGATCCAATCATAGCCGATCTGGACTCCAGCCAATTCTTACTCTGTTTCAGCGATAATCCTCATCTTCGATTCCGCTTCGATCTGATCTTCCTTTCCGATGCTGATATTACCAAATTTGGTTGTTAACACAGCTCCCCCCAGAGCAGCGCCGGCAATCGAGATCCGGCAGTGGCGGCCGGGAGAAGGGCGGTGGCCGGCGGGGAGAAGGGGCGGCGTGCAGCGATGGCCGCCGAAGGAGGAGGAGGAGATGCAGCCATGCGGGGAGGCGTGGCGGTGGCAGCCGGAGGAGGAGGACGTCCGCCGTGCGCTATTCCTCCCGGTAGTGGTGGCGGCGCGGGGCCCCTGGGAGTTGCCGAGGATGCCGAGGTCGACGTCGACGTCGTCCGCGGCCACGGCCATGGCGTCCCCGTCCGCATCCGGCGTGCGCCACTGTTGACGAAAAAATCGAACATACTGGCCTGGGAGATCTGCTTAGCTCCTGTGCAGGTCCAAAGATTGATGAGATGCGGGCGTGCCAGTCAGTTTGATCCTGAAACTGACAAGATATGCAAATAGTAGATCAAAACAGTCGATTGGCTGACAAGCCGATGGAGCAATCTCAGCCGATATCGATAATAGCCGATGCCAATACCAG